TAAAAAGCTTTGTGGTCTTGTGGTTTCAAGTTTTTTGTTTAAAAGTGATTCCATCATACGAAAAAAACACTTTTACAAATACTACGCCTCATGCAAATGCATGAGTGACCCAAACATGGGAGGAGTGTATAGTGAAGGAAAATTAAATAATGCTAGCGCTCTGGGTTTTTGAAATTCGAAAGTCCGAATTTAGGGTTCCCACCCAGCCGCGACGCAAATTTCCATCGTTAGAACTAATTTTCACATATTTTGACGAACTTTGGATCGAGAGAAAAGGTTTGGGAATCTCTATTTCAGTCCAAACTGCTTTTCATTCATTAACCCTTGTTTCGAGTTGTATAAAATTTTAGTATATTATCTATTATAAAAGATAGCGATCGCCGTAGCTGAGTTGTTAGGGGTGGTAAAAACTACCACCCGGTAGGACCAAAATTCGATTCCTGCTCCGAGCACGATCTACAAAAATTTTTTTCTAAAACGTCCCTCGGAAGGCATTGGGAAACGCCATTCACTTCAGCCATGAAAGAGCTTCTCACAAAAACCATTTGCCGTGCGGAAGTTGTATGTCCTAAAATACATATCTAGCTGAATTGAATAAAAATATTTTGATAGCAGTTCTAAAATTTGTAGATCATCCAAATATTAAATTAGTGTGCAAAAATGGGAAAATTAAAAAAAAATAAGAAATAATTTCAGCGAAGATGAAACTTGAGGCATATGCACGTAACACAGTTAAGTGACAAAAAATCTTTGCTGAAATTATCCAAGCATCTGCTGCTATTGTTGTATGCAAATTATGTGATGATGCGGTGGAAACTTAAGCTGAGGAGAAATGTTTTTGACGACATGTGTTAATTTTGTGGCTATTTAACTAAAGAGAATTGCCAAAGTGAATATTGTTATTGTATGCAGAAATGTGTACATACATACATACAGCTTCCGAAAGCAAAACGAAAAAGTTAAAAAGATTTAGAAACAAAAACAGGCAGGACTTAAAATATTTTATCGACAAAAGGGTCTACCTATTTTACAGATCAGTCATACAATTTGTATGCATTGTCCCTAAATACATACATACATACATACAGTGGCGGTCAAAATGGTGGATGAATGGTGTTTCGTTTTTAATTATAATGTTTTTCAAGCTAAAATTTTTTTATATTTTTTTATAAAAACAAAGTTAATGCTTTAACAAAAACCATATAAATCACACTTTCAAACTTTATACAGAGTATAGAAAAATTTTTTCAAGTTTTTATCTAAATTTCGAGCTTTTTAACCAGAATTTTTTGTTTTTGTTGGGTATGCAGTTAAGAGGATTATAAAATTTTAGTAATTAGTAAAAGTTTTGAGCGGCTAAAAATCGCATTGCTTTATAACATTTTTTTTTTGTTGACGGCGTTTAACACTTTTTTCCATATAAACATGAAAAAATTAAAAAAAGTCAATTCCAGTTTTCCTAAATTTCGCTATTTATATGGAAAAAACGCAAAAGCCGTCAGCAGAAAGAATTATTAAAAATCAATGTGATTTTTAGACGCTCAAAGCTTGCACTAATTTTACTAAAATTGTATAATCCAGTTAACTGCATACCCCAAATATTTAAAAAAATTCTGGTTAAAAAGATCGAAATTTAGATAAAAATTTGTGGAATTTTTCTAAATTCTGTATAAAGTTTGAAAGTGTAAATTATATGGGTTTTGTTAAAGCATAAACCATATTTTTATAAAAAAATATCAAAAAAATTTTAGCTTGAAAAACATTGAAAATATTAAAAAACGAAATCTCATTCATTCATTTTTGTCCGCCACTGTACATATGTAAACGCATCTGCATATGCATTGTTTGGGACATTTCTCAGAATTTCCTTATTGACTCACGAGAAGCTGCAGCGTTCAATTATTTTTAGAGGCAATTTAATACTCAATCATTGATTACTCAGACAGAAATCTCAATTTTCCAAATTAAAAAATTGTAACTGGCGCTTTTGAGAAATAATAAAATAAAATTAAATTAACTGCAATTCTGGTGCACGAATTATTTCCAGTCGAAATGCACAAAGTCGAAATTTCAAAACACAGTGTTCTGTCTTCAATTAAACATTCTGTTGTGCGCAATCGCAACGATTCACTCGCTATTGCCAGCCACTTGATTAAAACAAAGTGCAATGTACCTTTGACTGAGACGCGCTACTGGAATTTTTGGCATGCCAGTGTATTCATTAAAATTTATGAAGCGTATCGCGATTTTTTTTCAATAAAAATAAGTCATTGGTTTGTTTGTTGTCTGTTGTTGCACATAATAATATTTTGGCGCTTACACTTTTGCTAAGTGTTTGGCCGAGCTTCTCTTCCAATGTGTGGTGTGCGTTAAGCCGCATCCGAAGGGCAAATGAATTTTATGAGAAGCTTTTTCAAGACAGAAATACACTCGGAGGCTTGGCCATTGCCTGCCGAGGGGCGATTGCTGTTAAGAAACAACTTTTTCTATCATTCAATAAAATCTAAAGTAATAAGTGCGAATTTCGGTTATAGCGAAAATAACATGTTTAACAGCGCACAATTGATTCAATAATGAATTTTGTTTCTTTAGTATTTGTTACAACATATATGTATGTATGTATGCATGTATGTATATTCATTTTCTATTTCAAGTGATTTTCACAAAAATACACGTGAAAAACGTAGCTGAAAAAATTATTTGCCGAATTGTTAAAATTTAAAATAAGCTAAGAAGTAGCTTTTTCTCGAAGGAGAAAAAAATACACCCCTGTCATAATTCTATGCGCTCCACATATTTATAAGACTTAACATTTTTTTTAATTTAATTTTAGTGTTTTTTTTTTATATAGTTCGTTCTTTAATAAAACCGTATAAATCCAAGTTTAAAACTTTGTGCACTATTTAAAAAAATTCAACTTAAAAATTTCTATATTATTTATTATGAAGTGATGCGCAATTTAATAAATTTCGATATCCGCAAATATATCAATTTTGGCCCTAGAACTCGTCCTTTCAGACCGCCTGCCCAGCACGATATCCAGCGATCCTGCTGCTCGGAATCTTGGTCATTCCGACAGCCACAACAACGGCAATAAATATACGTATATGTAAAAAAAAAATTCTAAGCATTGCCGCAGAAATTTTAAATTTAGTTTGTAAGATTTGAAAACTTATTGTTAGTTTCGAAAGAATGATTCACTGTATAAATAAATATTATACAAAGAAAAAACGTTCCTTTCAATTTGATTTCTTAGAACAATGTTGATTACGTTTTGTATTTAGTATGTAAATTTAATAAATAGAATAAGCTGATTAATCGAAACTTGATTAATTAATCAAAGAATAATTTTTTATTAATCAAAGTAATTAGTTTCTCGATTAATTGCATTTTAATTAATCAGAATCTAAATAGTTTTATTAAACAGAAACCTGAATAACTGCTCCTATATTTTTTTATAGAAAAAAAATATTTATTCACAAGAATAACTGTTGCCCAGTTTTTTTTAAGTAAATGAGCCTTTTATAGATTTTGCGAAAAAAAGTATTTTATTGTTAATTTTTTTTACATATTTTACTCTAATTTTATTAATTAGTTTTTAAATTTTAGCCTTTATTTGGGTTTATCAGCGGTAAACACCTTGAGAGAAAAGCGCAAGCGCAAGTCTTCTTCGGTTAAGTTATTCCATATGCTCTGTAACCATAAGCTAATCTCCTCCATTCTTTGTCGTTTATACTCCCTCTTTGTCCAACATAATATGTAAAAAATTAACAATAAAATAATTTTTTCGCAAAATTTATAAAGGACCCTTCTATTTATTTTGCATAACAAAAAAATATTCGTCGCCACGCTGTGTTATATTATATTATAAAATTTTTTCCCTAATAAATCATATTAAACAATTTTTATTGAGCTTGAGGCCGTTTAGCCGATATAATTTCCACAATAATTTTCTATTAATAACGGCCTCAAGCTCAATAAAAATTGTTTGCTATAAAAAAATTGCATTTACATTGAAAGCAGACTCAAAAAAATTATAAAATTTACTCAGATTTCAATGAATTTTTTATGAGTAAACGGTTATTACTCAGGATCTGATTATTAAAATTTTTTTTTATCATGATTATGATTAATTAAAAAAAATTTTTGTCGATTAATCGCACATCCCTAATTTTTAACACTTACTATGGGGGTATTTCAAGAGTGTAAACAATTTTTCTTCCAGCACCCTGTAAGAACAGGTAAATCGGATTTTTTTCTTAACTTCTTAATTATATGTCCGATTTCTATAAATGACATACCGCTGTAAAGATTATGCCATCATGTCAAACTAAAAAGTTATAATTTTTTTTTTCTGAAAGCAGCACCCTGTAAGGAAAAGAAGTTAAAAAATACACTCCCGACTATATATTTGCCAAGCCTAATTGCCAAGGACGATACAGTTGAGTCCCGAAGAGAAATACTTTAATGAAATATTAGCTTAGAAGTGAGCTCTTACACAATTAAATCCTATGTAGTAACTAGTTTCTGTTTAATTAAAATGGGTTAGTATTTTTCTTGCCGAAGGAATATAATTTGACATGGAAAGTGTTTTTCTAACACATATATTAATGATAATGAATATAATTATCAAAATTATGTATGTATATACAATTGAAGGTTTTTTAATACCTATCCAACGATGTATTATTTATAGAAATCGGACATCAAATAAAAAAGTTGTAGAAAAGGCCGATTTAGCTGTTTTTAAAGAACGCCAAAAAAAACTTTAAAATAATTCCTGAAATACCCTGAATCACTTGGAACAAATCAAACTTCGATTCGGCCCACACATTATGTACACTGTACAGTGTATGCACATACATATGTATTTACTTTAGGTTTATCTTCCAAAGAAAACGAAGTATTTAGCTATCCAAAGTAATGCGCTTCGGAAAAAACCCGTGTCATTAGTCATATATATATATGTACATAATGTTTCAGATTTTGTTGTTTGTTGTCAATTAAATAAAACGATAAATTTTCTTCTGTTACAGCTGATATGAATTTGGAACAGCGTTTGATGTTTCTACGCCTACGTAAATACAACTACTGCACTTTTGTGGTGACTCAATTTTTATTCAACTCATACAACAACAACGATTGACCTTTGGAGTTCTACACTTTGAATCCAGGAAACGCATTGCTTTGTTCTCTTTAGTGATTCACTGCCATTAAAATAAATTGGCGCTACTGATAACAAGGACAAATACTTCCAAGGATTTACATTTACACACACACACACACACAACCACACGGACACACAGCCAATTCGCTATTCTACCTTAGATAGATACACAAAACTACAACAGTGAGCGAGAGAGATAGAGTAGCTTGGATAAAGCTTACGATATTACGTCTATTACGCCACTAAGTCAAAATTAATGCAACAAAATGTATAAGTTGCTAGTCGGTTTGAAAACCTATCTGAAATGGCAGCCCATACAGACGGACAATGCCATCTTTCGCCTGCACAATTCATTTACGACGGTGTTGTTGCTCACCTGCAGTTTGATCATTACGGCAACACAATTTGTAGGTCAACCCATCAGTTGCATTGTTAGTGGCATACCGACGCACGTGGTAAATACGTTCTGCTGGATTCATAGCACGTTTACGATGCCAGACGCATTCAAGCGACAGGTGAGTTAGAACTAGGGTTGTCAGTGGCAAAGATACATCGATGTTTTTCCCACGCATCGATGCATCGACATTTGTTTTTCAAGTTAACATATTTTATTATTTTTTGTAAAAATACTGTTCATGTTCCAAACTTTATAGAAAATTTTGAAAATTTTTTTGAAAATTTTTGGGTATACAGTTTTATAGCTCATAAAATTTTAGTCTAACAAAGTACAAATCAGCAAAAGAAAAAAGATTAAAAATCAAAGCAATTAAAACATGCACTTTATTAGACCAAGTTTTATGGAGCTATAAAACTGCATTTTGCTTTCTTTGAATTTCAGACAAAGCGATGTTTGGCGGTTCGATGTATTAGAGATGTCATTTTACAGAAAACATCAACTAAATATTTATACATCGAGTGGAAAATTTTCTATGCATCAAAGCAAAACATCGATATTTTCGATGCATCGATGTTTTTTCGCCATCCTTAGTGAGAACAATTAAAAATTGTATAAAAGCTTATCTATTCATGTGCATTTGTTGATATTTTTTTGTTTATTTACTTTTGTGTGTATATGTTTAAGCTTACTACACCACGACGATATCAAGTTGCCATCACCCATAACAGAGTTCTCAAATGCACACATTAAGTTCGCATGCAATTCATAAATTCATATTTAGTATTTTCATGGTGTTACAATGTACAGATTTATGTAATTGCTACATTAGGGTGGTTCTTAAATGTTTGAAGCAAATTTCTACATCAGATTTCCTAAGCCTAAACCCCCACGTCGACGCTACTAAAGTCGAAGATATCACATATACATTTTGGCCCCGTTTGGAGTCGGTTAAGGGGTGTCGCACAGGGGTCAAAGTTTAGATTACCCTATGAAGGTGTCGTAACCGACTCCAAACGCGACCAAAATTTATGTGTGATATCTTCGACTTCAGTAGTATCGGTTTTGGGTATTAAATGAAGTTATGTACACCTGCGAGGCTAAACTCAAGAGTAGGACGCCCGCACCTTGGACAACATGAGCGACCCAAGATGCGGTAACCAACCTATATGGAACCTTGGGTAACCGTGGAAATATTTAGTAGGACCATTCTGACATATTATGTTTGTCAGCCTATTGAAGCGTCTGTCCGCCAGAAGGTGTGACTTCAACCATTTGTCTGCCTTCGAGCAATAGGTTCGCTTTCACGGTTTGAGGTGGCCTAGATATAGCTCCCACGTCTATGAGCGGAAATTTGGTTTCGGGTTTGAGGTTAGGCGAAGTTACAAGCCTCACACCTGCCGATGAACGTATTGCCTAAATCCGTATCCGGGAGAGGAATTTCAAAGACCTCACTTATTAGCGCTTCCGCCGACACAATATTCAAAATATGATGGACGTATTTGACGCATAGGTGGGCAATAGTCAGTCACCATGACCGAGCTTCCGCTTATGTGTTGAAACTAATGGACATCGTGGCACATGAAGCATGGTATTCTTAAACACCAGAATCCAGCACACGAAAATACCGCACCAGATCCCGTACTGGCTAGAAACAGTACACGCCTCGGTACAGCAAAGTAGAAAACAAATTCGGTACTTGACTCATAATCATGCCTGCGCTTAACAATCTTCAACAACACGATTTAAGCATGCAGTGGGAGCAAGGAAAGGAGGACACCGCATACGTTACTGTCGGATGCAACGCAAGGTTATATACAAACGCTATCTTGTGTTGAAGAGGGAAAAGAAAAGAGAGGAAGAAACGTGCTACTACTGGGAGTATGAGAATTTTTCCGGCAGTAAAAACACTCGGAAAAACTGGCTCTCTTTCAGATGGTCTTACGACCCAAGCGAATACCTACAAGGATACGAACGACGACTATGTGACTGACGTCCAATTAGTAGTTAAATTATAGACACTTATTCAGATTGTTAGATGGAGGAAAAATGCAAGCATTAGCGAGGAAAAGGAACCCGAAATTCCAGTTGAAGCCGATGGAGTCGGAAAAAACATCCACGTGATAAGGTAAAAGCAGCGATAGTTCGGCTACAGAGGAATGCAGGCCTAAAAGCTGAATTCAAACTACTGAAGAAGAGATGTGCAAAGAAGATTGGCATGCGCCATCTATTGATCGAATTAAAAGCCGCCTCGGATAGTACAAATAACAGTTAGTTATATGATCTATGTGCGAATGGGTGTGGAAGTAAACGAGTGTCGAAATATTTCCTGCCATAACAAAAAGAGTGTGTAGTCGCGCCGTGACACCCACGTAAATGTTAATAGTTATAGATTCGAAAAAGTAGGAGTATCTTGGAACCGACAACTAAACAAGGCTAATAACGTCAGCCTTGAAAATCGGCGGAGAATCGACATTGCTAATAAGTGCTATAAGTGGACTAAAAGCTGTTTTCTCGAGTAGCATGAAAATTTATTTGCCCTTCAAACACATGTTTTGAGAACAAAAACAGATAAATTTTAGCAGCTACATGGGACAACGGCTTACAAAGTAAAGTACCTTACCATCTCTTCGTACAATAATCATGCTCTATAAGTCACTCTTCTTGCCTGTGCGGGTATAGGGCGCAGTATCATGAGCAATTACGGCATCTGGCTATTGGAGCTATTGGCTTTGCAGCGTAGCAGAGGAAGTGGGGACTCTCACTCTAGTGGTACTTGTGGCGTTTCTAATTAGCGTCCCTAGGCGCAAGAAAGAAAACGAGACGAGACCGCCGGGCATTTTAGAAGCCGGCCAAAATCGCGTAGGTGGCTAGAGCGCTATTTAAGAAGAAAAAGTAATTAAAAGGCAAAAGAAACGCTAATGTTGGACTACAACACTTATACAAAAAGTCGTAATTTTAGTTGGTTCAATTTGCTATCATAGCACAGGTTTTTAATTAGCGGTATTCGATCTTCTGTTTATTCATTGTATCTTGTGTAAGTCTAACTAAATGAGCGTGTGATTTGTTGTTGCTAGTGATGCAATAACTATACTTGCAATAACATGCACACGCTTATCTAGCTACACTTACACAAGATACAACGATTACACAGAAGAGCGAATTTCACTATTGTTTTTTTTTTTTTAGTAAATTAATTCAGAACTTGACAGCCACAACTGGATCGTACATGTATTTATACATAAATTATGGAAAGTTTTTATAAAGACAGATTCTTTTTTTATAATAATTTGTGTGTAGATAAGTATGTGCATTAGAGTGCATCGGTCCCCATACAAAAAAAAAAAAATCGGTACTGGTTTTCCATTGGAATTATAAAGTCTATTATATTTTAAGACGTCCACCAAAATATTTCGGAAAAATATTAAGATTTACGTGAGCTGGACCGATTTGAAAATACCTCCAAAAATGGAGTTTTTTATGAATAAAAATAGTTTTATAACGATTTTTGAGAAAAAAACCCCGCAAATGACAAACCGCTTTGTCAAATATAACAAATTTTGTAACCCCGGCGGAAACACCGCAACTTTTTTTTTGGTGATGCAGTCTAATGTATGTACATATGTATGTACGTAAGTATAAACTGCATGTACTTATGAATTATTAAAAACATGTCAGCATTACTCCCGGTCAAGCAACTCGTACTGGGCATAAGCGCATACAGCCCATGACAAAATGATAGCACCTTCACATTTTATTAAATTTTCAATGTGTTCATACATTTTTGTAAAAACGTATAATTCTCTGACAAAACCATTTATGTATGTAAATTTTAAACTTTGTATAAAAATGTAAAAAATTCAGCAAAACTTCATCAAAATTCCAAACTTTCTAATAAATCTAAATTTTAGTATAATAAAGTGCAAGGTGAAACTGCTAAAAAAATGTCCGGTTGAGTTTTGAAATTTGTTCTTTGACATTTCACACTTGCACTTTATTATACTAATATTAAAACCCAATTTTTTTTTAACAAAAAGTTTAGAATTTCGCTGAAACTTTGTTGAATTTTTCTAATTTTTGTAGAAAGTTTGAAAGTTTTTGTTAGATAATGATAGATATTTTTATCAAAAAATAATTACATTTGAAAAAACAAAAGAAAAATTGTCAAAACTGGTTAAAATACTAATGAGGTGTTAACATTTTGGTCGGGGGCTGTACAATACATACAACATACATATGTATGTACCAACAAATGTAAATTCAAACAGGCCTATTGGTATTCAGTTTATTTAGACTGGAATGCACTGAATATAAAGCACTAAAGCCGACATGCATACCCCTATGAATTTACTGACGATAACAATGGCCACACATCAGTGAAATGGGGATACACTATTTGAATAAGAAGCCGACACTCAGAAGTACATACATACCATACATATATATTCACATGGGTAGAAGTCAGAGAACAGCTTTGAGTATGATCGAGCCTTTTTGATCACACTCACTAAAAATCAAGCACAAGCGAACGCCACACTCGGCTAT